ATGGCTACAGGTGTGCCTGACCACGCTTGTGAGGGCGTGGTCAGGGTGACGTAGAGCGATACTGGGATGGGACTGCGTGCTCTCTTTCAGTTTCTATTTTGGGCTTGCTCTACAGACCGCTGCCACGCCGGCTGGCTAGGTCGCTCTGTAAGTAAGGCTTTTCCCTATTAAATACCCTTATATTTCTACCTGACTCTGTATTGGTAATTTCCCACTATACTCAAGTTTTTCAGAGGTCAAAGGCTATTGCCCTGTCCAGTCAGATTCATCTGTAAGCCATTTTAATGGCAGGCCCTTTGGTTCCTCTGAAGGCCCATCATTTGTATTTAGTGTCTATACAGCCTGAATAGTTGGTAACCATTTTCTATGGCATCTTACCCGATCCTTCCTACTATCCAGTGATTTTCTAGAATTCTTATCTGACATTGGAGGGATTTTAATTTGAATATTCCATTGTTATAAGAGATCCCTAACACAGAGATTTATAGCTATATCTGCCACGTAAGGTTTCAGTCTTCCTTTCTGTCCTTCTGGTCCAATGCAGACCACTGAGTTAACACTCCGTCGAACTCTAGATAGAGTACCAATTCCTAAAAATTGAACATTTGCCTCTTTAAGAGGCCATTTCTGAGGCTAAGACTTCTCGGTAATAATAGTTACATCAACCTCAGTGTCCACTAAGCCTTTAATAACTTTACCATTGATTTTTATTTCTAACTGAGGCCTAGAATCATTAATAGAAGCTTGCCAAAATATGCGTTTCCCATTTTTACCAGTCATATGTGATTCTTCATCACGATTCAAACTACCATCTAGAGCACTATCATTTTCCACAATAGGCAATGAACTATCTATTCGTCCTGTGAGAGATTGTCTCTGATGGCCACTGGGAATGACTGGACCTTTCTCGATGTGGGGACCTGCTGGAGGACCCCCTTCGGAGTTTCCCGATGTTAACAGATTCCCTTGCATGTCCCTAGTTGATCTGCATTTGTTAGTCCAGGGTCTGCCCTCACCACATCTCCTACATAACCCAGAGGGCAATGACCTTTCACGTGGGGAATCATTAGAATTTCTTTGCCTACAATTTCTCCTTATATGTCCCATTCTACCACAGCTGAAACATCTATTCTCCTGATCCTTTCGTGGACTCCTGGAGTGTGCTCTTCCTATGCGAGGCTCTGGGTCATGGTAGTGATGAACACTGGCCTCTCGATACCTGTGTGAGCCCCTGTAAGGTGCTTCTCCTTCCCAAGTCCTTCTGTCATTATCTCTCCTAATCTCCTGCTGTCTGTTGAAACCTCTTGGGACAGCTTCTCCTGTCCAAATTCCAGCATCTTGCATGTTACAGTCATGTGGTAGTATGCAGAACCCATTCTTCTAATGGAGCTGATCTGATCTTTAAAGGCAAAAGTATTCTTTTGTATATTGGATTTGCATTGTCATAAGCTAAGGTTTACACAATTGAATGTCGTATCGCTGAATCTGTAACTTGTATTTCTACTGCTCTGGTCAACTGGTCCAAGAAGTCCTTAAATGGTTCTCTTTGTCCCTGTTCAATTTTGGTATAAGCTTCTAGTCATTCTCCCGGCTCACGAACCTTATCCCATGCATTTAGTGCTGCCTTTCTGCATAGGGACAGCATATGGTCGTCATATTCGGCCTGAACCTGTGGGTCAGCATAAATACTTTCTCCTAGGATTTTCTGGAGGGGCGCATCAACCCCGTCCTTAATGGCCTGCCACTCTAGGAGTTTCCTCTCCTCTCTGAGTATTGCCTTCCATTCAATTTGGCAAGAATTCTCAAGGACAGCTGACACCAGTCCTATCCAATCTGCAGGTGTCACCCTGTTAAAGGTGGCCCATGAATGCAACAGCTGTTCTATGTATGGGCTATGAAGACTGTATGAGACAACTGATTCTTTAATATGCTTAAGATCTTTCAACTGGATTGGTTGCCATACATATGCTGTCTGCCCCTGGGAGTGTCTTTTAGTTGGTTGCTTTTCCACCACCATGGCCCGGTAGACTAGAAGTGTATGCGTAATTACTTTAGAGTGATTGAAATACCTGTTCAAAGTAGGCACCTCAGATTGGAGCGAGTCTGCTTCCTCTTCATCAAATCAATCCTTCAGCCTGGCCAGGACATCCTCATGGGAGGTTTTAATCTCATTCATCATGAGAGATTCAAGGGATGATATAGAATCCACGATTTGCTTCAACAATTCTCCTGTAAGGTTTTCTAGACAGTAATACATTCATCCCTAGGTGGCATCTGGGTGGCATGGAGATAGCCATCCAGAGATTGAAATTTAGAATCAAGGTTGTGATTTGCCTCAGCAATCGACTTGATAGACATTTCAAGTTTGTTATCCCTGTTCTGTAATTCATCTTGCAAGCTTTGAAACTCAGCTCTAATTCTACCATAGTCTCTCTCACATTTTCCAGTCATTGATTTAATGGCATTATCCGATTGTTGAAGCCTATTCTGGGTATCTTGTACCTTAGTAACAAAGGAATAGGAGAGAAAGACTATTTGAGTTTCTAGTTGGCTACAAATGTCTTTTAATTCATCATCACAGTCTGCTGCCTGTGTAGCCCTCAACGCTTCTGAAACATCCTTTAATTCATCATGGTCTGCAGCCTACTTAGCTCATAACAGCCCTAAAATATTTTTCAGTTCATCATGGTCTGTTGCTTGCTTGATCTGTAAGGCCCCTACAATATCCTGTAATTCATCACAGTCTTCCACCTGCTGAACCTGTAAAGCCCCTAAAATAATTTTTAATTCACCATGGTCTTCCATCTGCCTAACCTGTAAAGCCTCTAAAATGGAGCATCTCTCTGTTTTTATGTTATTATAAATGTGCTGCATTTAAGCTTGAGTAGAAGACAGATCTGCCTGCATCATATAAAACATAGAACAAAGCCTATCATCCAGTTTCTGTTCTACCATCTCCATAAGCATGTCATAAGTCATTCTTGTCCCTTCTAAAACCTTGTTACGCAAAGTTTGCATGTCCTGTAGGCGGGTGAGGAAATCAGCCTTCCCTTTGTTCCTGAGGAACGACAATATTCACAGCTAATAAGAAATATAAGCCAATATTCAGCAAGTCAGCTTGTTTCTCCAGCACTGAGTGCACATAAGGAGAGGAAAGGGCGACAGAAATTCAGCCACATTTACTGGTAATGTCATTTTCAGGTGCAGTAACTACATCTGACCAGCAGGTGGCATAGTCGCGTCTATTTCGAGTAGGATCCGGACCTTCCAGAAAATTTCTAGACACTAAGAAATTTTTAGACTGTACCTGGAGGGTATTTGTGTCAGGCAGGTGACCGTGTCCACAGCTAAATTTGAAAAGACTCAACCAGCAGCAGATGCATCCAGGGTCTGGTACAGCGGATGTCGGGCCGAGCCCGGGAAGCAAAGCAGTGGCAAAAGCCAAGGTGGGGACAGGAACAGCGGGAACCCGGACAGGAGCGCGAAGCTGCAGAGAGCATTTTCTGAGGATTAAAACTGAAAACCCTCGACTGTGCCAGCCAGGCGGCTCTGGAATTCAGGCCGCAGGCACACACACACAGCTAGATTTGAGCGAGGCTTTCCGGCCAGCAGCTAGGGTAGCTGCAGTGCAAATTGGAAAGTGCTACAGGGAGTAGCAAAACCTGCCAGGGTTCGCGGAAGCAGTTTGTGCAGGAAGGACCAGGGAGCTTAACTCACTGTTTAGCGGCCTTGCATTTTCCACAGTCCGCTCGGCGTCTGGGCTGTAAAGCAGAGGCCCGGAATGCAAGCTTGGAGCCCCTGCAGCGCAAGCCGGGCAGGTCTTGGGGGTTTGGTGGGTGCCAAGTAAAGAGATCGACCCGCAGTCCCTAAGGATAAGGTTTCTTTATTCAGATAAACCCCAGCCAAGCACAAGCCAAAGCGTGCCCAGAGCTCGCAAGCTAGCATGGCCAGAGAGAAGGGCTATTCACCTGTACCAAGTCACCTTAGACTTCCCCTCACCACGCCCTCATGGGCGTGTCCCAGCACACCTGTCTAGGCTACTAGGAGGCGGGGCTACAGTGTCTCCCTATAGATGGCCATGAGCCATCCTTCTCCAAAGAGGAGAAATTGACCTCTCCTCACTTCTGCAGCTTGAAATTCTGAAAGGTGACAAACCAAAGGGACATGGTCAAGAAACTAATCCCAGAATGAGAAATGTCAGGAGAGAAGGATGCGATCCTGTTGACAGAAACCAGCAGGGAGACTGGAGTGATGGAGGAAGCAGAGAAGCTCTCTGTCAAATCTGACCTGCAGAGGGGGAGGGGTGATGAGATTCAACCCTATTTCATGGTCCCAGGCCAGGGAATGCAGGAGAAAAAATTAAAATATGTGAAAACAAAAACAAAATGGGCTCTAACGCTCCCCTGGTTCTCAGAAGAACAGCTCCCAGCTCACTGAGCCCATGGTCTCTAAGGCTGCCTTAGCTGCCCTGTACTCCCAGGGAGAAAGGGAACTGACACACCTCCCACCAGAACTTCCATATGGGAAGCTCTGCTTTCTTCTTAAAACAGAAACATACACAAAAAATGGAATCCAAACACACATATGCAATTATGTTTTTAAAGAGAAACCTCTTTATCTGATATAGCTCAACACAATGAAGACCACAAGCCCTGTGCAAGCGGCTAATTTAACATCATGATTCATCAGTCTTCTCTAGGCCCTGAGGGAATGTGACACAAGGCTGGAGATGTTACTGGAAGAAAATGGCTGATATCCGGGGCCTCTCACACAGACCTGAAAGGAAACACACATACAGAAGTGTATTTGGGGAAATAGTTTGGATTTCAAGGGAGGATGTGGTTAGTCACAGAAAATATCAGTAGATTCAAGGGACTTGACCTGGACAGTGAGGATGTTGGCCCCTTCCTTCCCCCACCCCCAGCAGTTCAGCCCCTGAGGTTTGCACTTACATCTGGGGTCCCTGACCAAAGCCACCGAGGGCTCAGGGCCATCAGGGTCAGGACCACAGCTGCCACACAGGAGCCTCTGGGGAGCCAGGGACCCATCATGGTGGAGGATTGGATGGTGGTCTCCCACCCTGGAAACTATCTCCCGTCTCTGTCTATACCCAGGTCAGCGGGACCACGGGATTCTCTGCTTTGGTGCTGTGTTGAGTAAAGTCAGTGCTGGGGAGCCAATCAGTATCAGATGTGAGCAGCATTATCAGTTGCTAGCTAGAAATTCAGTATGAGGGTCCTCTTTGGAAACAGAAATTTCTTTTCTAGTTAGTGTTTTTAATACTTGTTCCAGTTGCAGTTGAAACATTAATCAGCCAACAGTGCTGAGTCAGCTCTGCTGTGGTTCGTAATTCATTCATCACTGTGAGCACTGGGGGAGCGCTCACCTCCTACACAGGGCTGTTGGCACGACTGTGTGTTTGAAGTTTGTGGGAGCAAAGGAGGTGACTGAAGATGACAGCAAGCCAGGAACCTTTAGCCTGGCACTTACTGCCCCTCAGCTTAATGATGGAGATGACAAAGGTGATGCCAGTTCATCCACTTCAGGTGAAGTCACCACCATCTCACGTTCCCTAGAGCTGGACAAGGCTGTGGTGCTGTGGACATCTCCAGGAGCAGCTTCCCCTAGTAACTGATGATGTGGCAGAATGTCGGAACCTGATTGGACATTGGAATCTGCACCTCTTCAGTTAGGGAAAAGTCTGACAAGTCATGGTGCAGTCCTGGCCTGTACTGGGGTGGCTGGCGGGTTGTGGGTGGAAGTGTTCCAGCCCTTCAGTAAAACACACTGCGGTCAGAGGCAGAACTGCTGTGGATGCTCAGGGAGGGAACTGGAATTCTCATAGCTGTGAAGATTATAACCCATGGGGAAGATTAATACCCCATAATTGTATGGGGATGTGTACCAGGCTCTCTTTTGTGCCATCAACCAGCTCCCAAATTATGACATGGAGACTTATTATTAGTTATGAATGCTCAACATATGCTCTGCTCTTATTTTAATCTGTTTCTATGTAACTGCATTTTGCCTTGAGGTATTTTACCTTTCTTTCTGTGTGTCCTACTTTCCTGCTTCATGTGTCTGGCTGGCAGCTGGTCCTGGGCGTGTCCCTGTTTCCCCTTTGTCCTCTCCAAGGAGGGAAGGGAGAGGAAATTGGTTCTGAGGAGCCACAGACTATGGCAGTTAGATCTGTGAGGCTTTCGTATCAAAGGCAATGGAGCCACAGCTTCTCTGTGTTGGTTTCCTCAGAGAGCCCCAGTGCCCAGCAGCTGATAGAGTCTGTGTGGCATTTACCTTAAGGTCCTTGGGGACAGTTGTGAAGACAAGGGCACTGCAGAATAGCTCTTGAAGGACTCCTGGGAGGCCACTGGCCCCACAAGATCCCTCACCTGGATGATACTGAGTACCTGCAGCCTTGTTCTCTGCCTCCAGTAGCAGCAGGTACCCTCACAGTGCAAGTCTGCCTGTCACCACACCACAGAACAGGGTCCCTTTTTAAGCTCTAGATCACACTGATAAAAGATTTAAAAACAAGACAAGAGAAACTTGAACTGAAGCTTGGACACCAAGCTGAGGTAGCAATCTATTTTATAAAAGAGATTATGCCACCAAATCCTAATTCTATCATGTTTTGCTATTACCACAGTCAAGGTTATATAGTTGAGGGGCTGGAGAGATGGTGTAGCTAATAGGAGCACCTGCTGTGCAAGCATGGGTTTCCCTCCCAGCACCCACAGACCAAGCCTGGTGTGGGCCTGTGCACCTCTAACCCCAGCGGGGGCTTTCCGGCTGCCGATCTAGCCTAAAAACCGGAACTCAGGAAAGACCCTGACTCAGGTGGAGAATGATGAGGACACCTTCATGTGGCCTCCACACACCAGCACACATACATAAACACACTGAGCTCATAACTCACACACATACACCATGCATATCATGTCCTAATCACTTTATAGTGGGCCCATGCCAAGACAAGTTTTAACAAAACTTTTAACTTACTATTGAAATTTCTAGTAATTTAAATTTCTAGATATGAAACTCTCTAAATAGCTTCCTCATAAAAATTAGTAAGGGATTGTAACCCTCAGGTTTGAAGTTAAACAAAGTAAACCAGTACTGCCCAGTCCTGAAGGCTGTGCATCTGACCTAGAGGGCAGCCCTTCTCTGCTTACCCTAGCTAGGAAGCACCTCTTCACACAGCAGGCCTTCAACACTGAAGGAAAGCATGGCTTTGTGCAAATCACATAGGCTTTGTGGTCAGAAACACAGCCATTTGTTAGTAGGGTAACTTCTGGTGTCTGCCATCTTGAAAAGTTACTGTGGGTAATGATGATTACTGTGAGGTATGAAAGTTACCAGGGGCATGAAGGTTACTGGGGGTATGAAGATTACTGAGGGGTATGAAGGTTCCTGGGGGTATGAAGTTACTGGGGGTTGCTTTAATGCTTTAAGCTGCTACTGCACAGCCTTGGGACTAACAGACTTTGCAAGAGGTGCTTTGTACTTTGTTACCAACCCAGGTGTGTGGAACCCCATCTAGTGGCTTAATCTTCAGTACCACACACCTCCCAACTCTGTCATATGCCTCATCACCTTTGCTTCCCTTGTTCATTTTCATTTGAAGGCCCTTATTTTTAAATATAAGAAATTTTCGTCTTTTCAACAACATTTGGAACATTTTAAAACTGCTCTGCTGAGTTCCCAACATGAATAGACACAATCTCTAGAGCCAAACTCTCCAGACTATTAGAAATTATTGCAAAGGCTGACAGCATGAATTTCATATGCGAGTTCAAGATGCACCAAAGTGTTCTTAAATCTGGCCTCTGGGAAGCCCTTATATCTAGGAACTTCCCTTGCCCCTCGTGAGTTCTGAGACTTTGTTATGACACCAATTCCGGAACCTTCACAGACCATATCCTGCTTAGGTCCAATGACCCTAAGCCACATAATTCCTGGGAGACCCTCTGCATCCTCATCTATAAGGGTCTCCCTGAACTCAGGATCTCACAGCTCAGAAGCTGTGAGCTTGAGGCATTTGTTTTATATTGATCTCTCTCTGACATAAGAATCCAGATGACGTGGAACTCACTGAAGACATTAACTGGAAGATGGCAGCCTTGGGTGAGAGCCAGCTTTCTCCCTGGCATTTCCTTCATACCTACTCTCTCAAGTCCTGTCTTGGGGACACTCAAGGAACTGGCACTCTTTCTTACCTGGTGTCATTCAACCCTAATATCTATCCTTTCATTCTGACAGAGTCCTCTAAAAGCTAAGGGAAAGTTGCTAATGGTCACCTCCTCTCTAGAGCAATCTTCTCTGGCTTTCTGAAATTTGAATGCTGAGACAGAGTAACCACTGTCCACAGTGCAGGGGCATGTCATAGCCTCCTGCATCTTTCCTGCACAATCTGCCTCAGCACTGAGAAACAGGGGCTTGGTTCCCTTTGCCCATAGGGGAGGACCATCTTCTAAACACCCACCCTAAGAGCATTTCAGACACCCAGCAAAGGGACAGCTGCTCTCTGGGACTTCCTCTGAGCCCACCATCTAAGTTTATCTCACTTCCACAAGGGTTTAACACTCTCATGGTGGAGACCGGCTGCTGACTTTAGAGGTACATTCAGAGCAAATCTCTAAACGCAAAGTGTTTGGCAGAAGAATTTTTTTTTCACATTTTCAAACACCTAAAAAGACTCAGTAGACAGATGCCAGTTGCCGTGGTGGGGTTGCATCTTGAGGTGGATTTCCACTCATGCTTTTTGGAAGTAGCCTTGATTGGAGAATAATCTATTTTCTTAGCCATTTGGAGTTTGATATTCTTTAGTGTTTCCACTGTAGTGACAGACTTGTAGTTGCTATGGATGTATTCCCCTTTCATCTTCTTTCCTGCTCTGTCTTAAATATCAAATGCAAATCAACCATATAGCTATACAGACAGTCTTCCAGTCCCTGTGACAAAGTTCACAAACTTATTCTATCATTCGGCTCAGTGGGCAATGACTCCAAGGCCTTCCTCATTGATAAGAAATGTCTGCGCTCACACACACTCACGTTAATATCATTACCTTCAGACAGCATCTTCCCAGGGCCTCACAACCTGTGGTTACTCATCAGTGCAAATATATGTTGCTACATATGGATAGCTGCAAATATCTAGAAATGTACAAATATACTAAGATTTATGTTTTAAACAAAATGGGAAATGTATACATAAAAGGTGAAATTATACACACTAATATAGAAGTTCTAATTTTTTCTCCTCCCACCTCAGAAGACTGCTTTGCCAGACCACTAATCTCCCCTGGCCTTCTCCTGCTCCATTGAGAAGCTCCATGGAGGAGCGGGTCCCAGGAAATGCCCAAAATAAAGCCAGGGTTACAGCAGCCAGGGTTTTTACAGAGCATAAGAGCTAAAACTTGCTGAGACAGGAGTGTCAGAAGCTGGGCTTGGCTGTGCACCTTTTAATTCCCCGTGCATGGATGGCAAAGTTTGTGGAAGAGTCGGTAATCAGAGCTAGCCTTGGTTACATAGTGAGTGCAAGGCCTCACTATGGGCTGTGTGAGATCCCATCCAAATCAATAATCAATCAGTTAATGAGTTGAGGAAGAAAGGGGAGGGACAGAACAGTGTGATGGCAGCAGTGGTCTCTGGGTGGACCAAAGCCTATAGGTGTCCCTTTGTTTCAGATGTAATTGTATCTTTCCTCCTGACTCTGCTGGGCTTTGCTATCCTGTCTATCCTGATAGTAACATGTGCATGGAGGCAGCGTAAGCAATGTGGTGAGTAACCTTAGCCTCGCCCCATGAAAGTTTCAAAGGGAGGGAAGCTGAGGTGGAGCAACAGACTTTGTTGGTGTGCTCAGAGAGTGTCCCACACAGACGTCAAAGATTTTGCCCTGCTAGTGTCTCTGTTCACAGAGTGAATTTCCAAAGCTTACACTATCAGCACTGTCAACAAACACACAAGAATTAGCGAGAGGAATGAGAATACTTCATAAAGCAAAGTCTGTCTCAGTTCCAAAGGGAAGTACTCAAGTCTGAAAATGTGGGAAAACAAGATGCTGGCAGAAGCCCC